GCATTGCCCCACCGTTGTTCATTTGCTTGATTATGTCTGTTTATGCAAGGATATGCACAACAGTGTATTTCAGATTGCAGCTCGAACTCGGCCTCCGGACCSATCTGAATACTTGGGCGAACCTGCACAAAAAGGTGAGCACTCCGACGATCAAGTCAGTATAGGTCGGATTCCCAGTTTAGTTCGAGGTCAGAAAATCATCCTACCTGATCGCGGAGTGAGGTCCTCTACTTATGGGTGGTAGTCCCGCTAATCTCGCAACGGTTACACCCGGTAATCTCTGGACCGTCGGTTACACCCGGTAATCTCGGGACCGACGGTTACACCCGATAATCACGCCGCTGACAGTAGCTCACATCGGCCCCCACCGAGCTTTCCGGTAGGTCGGACCTCGGCCAGGTTCACCTCGGCCCTCATACTTAGCATCTGTCAACGCTAGTGGTGGTGATCTCGGCGGTCCGAGCTGGGGCATGACTCATGGGTCACCTTGGGGCACCAATGGYTGTCCTCCACGTGTCCTGGGTATTCTCTTCCCCAAACAATGTCAATTTGTAGCATCGCCTAACAAGATCTTCTTTCTCCCCTCGTTTCTCTCTAATCGCCTTCCTACCTGATCTTCTGCCTCCCTCCCTCATCTTCTTCGGTGTGATGTCTCCTTGTGATTTCAGTCTACATGTATATATCAAACAATAGTGGTTAGAAAAAAACGAGAATCAAGGAKATCTAATCTAGGAAAGATAAGGGAAGTTATGGTATTTTATTTTAAAAATAATAACAGGATAGAAGTGTCAAAATCAAACCTGTAATATGATGGAYATTTTTCATTACCAAATATCATTTGGCCATTTTTTAAAACCAAATCATAAATAGGGACACCTACYGTAAATTCTCGAGTGTTCGGAGGGCTGTTTTAGAAACTTATTTACACAAATGTCTAAAATTTTCTAATTTTACACTTTTAGATTTCTGCACGTAGGATTTTATTTTAATTCCGATGTTACCCTTATTAATTACATTTACATTTATTATTGTTATTTGTTTTTTTAATATAAAAGATTTAATTCCATRAATTATTATCATAATCCTTTAATTATTATGGGTCCCATACTAATTTTCAACACAAATCCTTTAATTCACTCATTCAAAACCTTAATTTACTCCTTAATTTTCTCTCAATTCACTATTCATGGTCAACCTTCAAGGACAATTCAAAATCATAGAAACATCTTTTGAAGTCTCAATAAACATATATCCGCATATTAAAAAATATATTCAAAATCATAGTATATATCCATTTATATATCCACATATATGCATTCAAAATCACTATAGTATATATCCGCATATTCGCATATATACAAGTTGAGTTATAAGATATATCTACTTATATATCCGCATATATACATTCAAAATCACTATAGTATATATCCACATATCCACATATATACAAGTTAAGTTATAAGATATATSTTAATCAAACTCACTATAATATATATACTCATATATACAATAATTCACACGAAATCAGAAATCGAAAACAACCGTTGGAATACAAACCTTTTGATTGGGATAAACGGAGACGAACTACTTTGGCGACGGAGAAAAATGGAGGCGGCTGAAGATGAGGTAAACATTGGTCGGAGACAAAAGCAAGCAGAAACGACCGGAGAAGAAGGAAGGACACAAATCTCATTTCGAACGGGATAAATGGCGTCAGAAGGGCAACGGAGAAAACGAAGCCGGCYGGAGATGAAGGCAGACAAAGATGGATGGTCAGAGAAGAAGAACAGACRGTTGGAGGAAGAAAAACGAACGGTCGAAGGAAGAAGAAAAGRGTTTCGAAAATGGATGGTTTTGGAGATTTTTGGGATTTTGGGATTTTTTTATTTTGGAAAGTATAATTAAACACATTTTAAGGGATCTTATTATTATATTTTTAATCTTAAATTACTATTTTTTGGGCCTTGAGCAAGCCCGACCAAAAAGGCTAAACGGGCTCTTTTCCAATTGGATCTCGAATGTAAATCTGCACCGTTTTGAATTAACGTACAGAACAAACAGTTGGCTAATTCCAAACTCCAATAGAGCCAAAACGGCGTCGTTTTCATGCCAAAGTGAACGTTCTGGTTCTGCCCTTCAATTATTCATTGGTCACAGAAGGAGTCAGGATGTGACGCCATCCACCACCCCAATAACGCCACGTGTCACTCTGTCTCCAGCCGCGGACGTAAAAACTGACCGTTAACTACATTTGACCAAACCAGTGGCGTCCGCTCTGTCAGTTACGGAGTCTCCATTGGTCAAAGAACTGCAAGAACCATCCCTGCAACTGAGAATACTGAAATGAAATTCTGTTTTCCGTTCTCTCGCTAGAGGAAGAATTCGTAGATGCCTCCTTCAAAAACTCGTCTCGCTTCTGCTCGGATTCGAAAATTTGCGAAATTATCTGGCTCATTCCAGGTAGTTCGTTTTTAACTTCGATTGTGTTGATTGGTGATTTTTTCCGTTTGGTTGCTGAGAAATTGGAAGGAAATGTGTTGAGAGTATTTTACTGGTTTTAGGCTGTAGGTACTGTAGTGTAGCAGATTCTGGAAAATGGTGAGTGAACGGAGTTATTTAGATTGTGTCTGTATTGGATTTTAGCGATTTAGATTAATTTATTTGAAATGCTTAAGGGAAGTTTGTGCTGTATTTCCCTGGGTTAAGTTTTTTGTCTTTTGAAATGGTAGTATTTAGGAAACTGGTTTATGGGGTAGGGTCATGAATATAGAAATTTCTGAGTCTTGTGGAAACTCGCATTTTTGTTCGCTTTGGGCTGGTGTGGCTTGGCAAGCCTCCATATCCCTTCAATTTGTTTAGTCGATATTTTTTTTYCCTAAAAATAGGTATGTAATCAGGATGTTGGATGCTCACTAATTTCGTGGAGGCTTTGTTTATCTTGAGGTTTGAGCTTAGGACAACCTTGGAGGGTATGTCTTAATATCCGAAGTTCTTAGAGTTGAGTTCAATCAAGAGTTGTTGATGCTGGTTATCCTACACAATGTGATTCATGAATGAGCTTCATTTCCCAAGTGGTGTGCTCCAGAAAAGCAAAGTTGACCTAGATTAGAGCAAGCTCTTGATATGCCTAATAGCGGAGGGAGGTTACGTGGCTTTTTGTTTGAGGGAAAGGATTATTAGGGATTTGAATATAGTTATATGTTGGTTAGAAGTGAGGAAAAGACTCATGGCACATGAGAACAAGATCTTCATTTGTACGAGACCTTTTAGCTGAAATGAAAAGTAAACTAGACTTAGGCTCAAAATCAACAAATTTACCATTGCAGTAATATGAAGAGACTTGCTCCTTGCCACCATGCATTCCTGGGGTTTGTTTAGTTGAGATTATTGAAACTAAATCTTGATAGCTTCTTTCTTTTTTAGGCAAGTAGCTCAATTTCATTTTATGGAGGGATACAAAAGGGAGGGCAAATAAAGAATTTGCCCTAGAAAGGGCAATGAAGTTTTAGGATAAAAAGAAACTAGCGTAATTGCATACCAGCATAACTCACCTATTGATTAGAGGTTCAAATCTCTCCACCATTCTGTACTATAAAATAATAATTAAAAAATGCTTTAGCAATAGCACACTGAAGTTATTCTCTCGAAGTTCCTCCAGTGCTTTATCAAAAGTTTCTAGATTTCTTTCCAACCTTGATTTCATAGACCACCAGGACCTGGCTTTGTACTTCATTCAAAGACTACTAATCAGACTAGATATTAAGGCAATCTGTTAGACTTGTTAAAAACTAGAAAGTACAACATCAGCCAACCCCCAAAAAATCCAAGGCTTGGAGGCCCAGAAAATAGATAGATGCCTTAAAAGTAAGAAAGAAACTCTTAATATGCATAAAAGATGTCACGTCTTTCCCACGATGCTAAAACGTGGCTTGAGACATCAACCTTCCTTTATCTAGACCTTGACCGAGATTTAGACCAATTAATCCTCCATTGAGTGAGCTTAGGTTCTGGTTAAAATTGAAAAGGTTAGATGGATACTTCTAAGAACTTCCTTGACCACGCTTACACACTTCACTTTTCCTCCTTGCCCCCGGCCTTTCACATTCCATCTCAGGATTTTCATAATAACCTCACATCCCTATCCCAAATCTCCATGTAGAAATCTAGATAGTTTTTAATAAAGAAATATATTGTGGGTTCTTTGGTTCATTTATGACATCTCTTCTAGTGGTCGATCCTTCGTCTTGTATTTTTGTCCGAAATTTTATTGAGGCGTCCACCAGGTGATGAATTGCCGAAGATCATGTTCCAGTCACATGGGTTGTTCGAAAATAGAGCCAAAAAAACAAAAACGGACAAACTAACGGAAGTTACAGGAAGAGACTCCAATTGTCTAAGTTCGACGGTAAATGATAATTAAAGAACACCCAAAAAGAGAGCCTTAACGATTCTTCTATTCCTCTCAAGCTGAATAAACCTGATGGTATTAAAGCTTGTTTTCTGGCACAAAAGAACACACATCCTCTTCAAAAAGGAGGGTGAGGAACAAACCAACTTTCATTAGGCTATCTTATTAGAGAAAAGATCACATGGGTTGGTGCTGTATTGGCCAAATTTGTGCAAATTTTTAGGTTGCCCCATTGGAGTTTAAGATGGATCTTGCGCAACAAACTTAACGATCTATCTCTTCTAGAACCATGGGAACTGAAATTGTTATAAATGACCTATTTATAGTAAATATTTACAAATTTGTTGTAATCTAAAAACAACTTACAAATTTAGTCCTTGCTAGCTGTAGATTTGTTTCAATTAAGGTTTCCTTCTTCCAATTTGTTATCAAACTAAATCTTTTTTTTATCAGACTAAATCTAACCATGAAATTTCCCTTTTAGAAAACAAGTTTTCTCTGGTGTTCTTGAAGCTATCCAGACTAATTTTGTTATTATTTTGATTGTTTTTAACCTTTTTTTTGTGTTAATATATTCTAAAACTAGATTAGATATGTACAAAATTCATCCTTTTGTAAATGGATGAGGTTATAACAAGGGCAAGTGATGGGTTTTGAAGAAGACCTACAACCCAACCTATGGTAGCATCTTGGATATTTGTTAGGCCGTTCCACCTTATAGAGCGGGAAATATGAACTTCTAAAAGAAAGCTTACCTTTCCCAGAAAAAGGACTCCGCTTTAAGTAAAGAGTTGCTGAAAATCACTTGACAAATCTCGTCGCTCTGATTCTTGCAATATCCGCAACGCACCGGTCATTTGGGCATCCATAAACTTTATTAGAGCATTCCCGGAGAAACCACCATTTAAGGGCAACTTCCCGCATCAACAGCCTTAGATATTGGAATAATACCACCTGCATTTAAATTTTTGGTTTCGATCCTTTATGTCAACTTTTACGCCTCCATCCACTTTAATGCACAAAAATGTTCACCCCCCACCCCTTCGATTTATTACCAATAGCGTCAAGAATCTCCTCTCCACATATTTAGTGGAAATTCCCTCAACCTTATCCAACCCCCAAGCAGGATTCATTTGACCATGGAGCTGCAGGTCCCTTGCTTCCAATTCCAAAGGAGATATMTYCAAGTGTACACCAGCCTTTGTTCAGGGATCGTGCTTCATCTGCACCGATACATTGCAAGAATGGTCATTTCTCAAACTACAGAGTGCATTTCTCCATAGCGGGTCTTCGAAGAGTCATTCACTTGAGGAACAGCAATAGAAGTTCAAACTTGAAGTTATTTTTTTGTGGGACGTTAGTTCTACATTCATCAGTAAGGCCAGCAAATTATGTTTTGCAGTGATACTGTTTTAAATGGTTACTCTGATTAGAATGTCAGAAATTAATTTTTTCCTAAGCCTTCAAGGCCCTCAAGGCTGGAGTTAGGCACAGTAGTAAAGTTCTTTGGATTCATGTAAGAGGGTCATAATTTCAGAAGGCCTTGGAACCACCAATTTGAGATATTGATGAGTACCACAATTCACACCAATTAATTTTTARATGTGGTTATCATAGAGAATTCAAATTTAAGTGTTTGCGTGCATAGATTTTAGGTGTTTGTTTTCCTCAATGCTGTATTTTCTAAATTGCAGGTTAGGATTTGCACAGACTGATTCATAAGGATCACATTGTGATTTGTAACAGTTTAGCATATTATGGCATCTTCTGGTATGGGTCCAGTTGGAAAACCCAATGGTGCTGCATTATTTGCTGATAAACTTCCGGAGGAGATTAATGAAATGAAGATCAGAGATGAGAAGGTTGAAAAGGTTGGACTCTTAGAGCGAATCATTGTTTTAGTATAATAATTCTCTATCCTTTATGGCTTTATGTATCATTTTTCTGTCTAAAATCCACCTTCAGGAGATGGAAGCGACAGTGGTCGATGGAAATGGTACAGAAACTGGTCATATAATTGTAACTACTATTGGTGGTCGAAATGGTCAACCCAAACAGGTGAATTAAAAACATGCTGCTTTGAAATTTTCCCTTCCAAGCTATGATTTTCTGACAGAGCCATACCATCTATTTGCATCTATTGAGACTGCTTCGTTGTAATAATACCTGTAAGTTATATTAGACATGTATTGGCAATTTAATTTTCTGTGATCTTTGTGACAGACAATAAGCTACATGGCAGAGCGTACAGTTGGACAGGGATCCTTTGGTATTGTATTTCAGGTAATGATTCAATTGAAAATTCTGAACCATCTGTAACTCTGATATTTTTCTTGAGCAGGGTGGGTGGAAATTTTCTTACTAATATAAAATTAACAATTTTTGGAGGGCGAAGAGTATTAGCTTGTGGCTTTTATGACTTTGGTTTGCAGGCTAAGTGTCTCGAGACTGGAGAAACTGTTGCTATCAAGAAGGTCCTTCAGGACAAGAGATATAAGAACCGTGAGTTGCAAACAATGCGCCTTCTCGATCATCCTAATGTTGTTTCTCTCAAACATTGCTTTTTTTCCACAACGGAAAAGGATGAGCTTTATCTTAATCTGGTGCTCGAGTATGTACCTGAGACAGTTTACCGGGTAATAAAGCACTACACAAAGGCAAACCAGCGGATGCCTCTCATATATGTCAAGCTTTATGCCTATCAGGTTATCTATTCTTTTTCTGAGGATTAAATGACATGATTTTCCTTCCATTTTTTGCCTATAACCTAGCCTTATCTTTAGCCAAAATGATAAGTTAAGAGCAACTACACTGTATTAAACTGAGAACATAGTGGTTTCATTTATGCGACTTAACCCGTTACAGCCAATTATACCACATCAAAATGTTTAGAGGACTAAGAGGAGAGGGGAATAGTACTTGAGATATTATGCAAATATTATTTTTTTTGGATAAAAGACACAAATGTATTCTCCATATATTTTTTTTTTGGATATTATAAAAATATTTACAAAATGAAGAAATTTATGGTAGCTATCCTCCAAAGAGTTCATGGGACTCCTTAAGAAATATTGCCAGCATCTGCCATGCTTTATAATTATTATCATGTAAAAAATGTTCCTCCATATTACAAGTGTTAATAATGATGGTGTTGCCGATTAATCTTCGAACTTTTTTTAAAAGGCTAAGCCCTGACTTTCGACGCTATTAACTTGATTTGATATTGTCAATTGTCAACTTTATCCCATACTTTGCGTGTGAGTGTGTCTAATCTGTAATTTCTCCCGGTATCTCAACAGATTTGCAGAGCTCTAGCCTACATTCATGGAGGAATAGGAGTATGCCACAGGGATATTAAGCCACAGAATCTACTGGTTTGCTCTAATAACTTCTGATTGTATGTTTTATAGTTATTTGAAAGCTACTTGCTGATAAAATTGTTGTTCAGGTTAATCCCCATACTCATCAGGTCAAGCTATGCGATTTTGGAAGTGCAAAAGTTCTGGTAGGGGCCTTCTTTTTGTCGTATCTCTACATCACGAAATTATTTTTATTAGTTGATCTATTGTATTGCCTCCATTCTTGCATTTTTCCATAGTGTTTATATTGCTTCCTCTTCATTCATATTTAATAGGTGAAGGGCGAGCCAAATATATCATATATTTGTTCTCGTTATTATCGAGCGCCKGAACTAATATTTGGTGCTACTGAATACACTACCGCAATTGATATATGGTCTGCGGGCTGCGTTCTTGCTGAGTTACTTCTTGGACAGGTTCCCTACAAAATTAACTATCCCTCTTTCTCATTCTATGCAAAGCAGTGAAGGATCAGAAGTTTTTATTTTTCTCTCTTCCTTTCTCTCTCTCTCTTATTGACTTCCTCAAATTTTGTAGCCTCTCTTTCCTGGTGAGAGTGGCGTGGATCAGCTTGTTGAGATAATCAAGGTCAGCTACCTGAATTGTTTCTGTAGAGTATAATTTACTATTTTATTAACTATAGTTCCCTTTGTGTTGAACTTGAAGTGCTCTCTTTGATTAGGTACTCGGGACTCCTACCCGTGAAGAAATCAAGTGTATGAACCCAAATTATACCGAGTTCAAATTCCCACAAATCAAGGCTCATCCCTGGCACAAGGTAACTACGTTTGATGCTTTATCTAAAAGCACTTTGAAGTGCTTTTTATTTATTTTTAGAATTTCTCAGACTACCTTTGATTATCAAAAATTTTTATCCCGTAGATGTTTCACAAGCGCATGCCTCCGGAAGCAGTGGATCTTGTATCAAGACTCCTCCAGTATTCTCCAAATCTTAGGTGTACTGCTGTGAGTGTTCTATCCATGCACTAYCACCTTCTCTTATGCATCATCCCGATTAAAGGAGTTTATTGCCATAGCCAATTTTATTTTTATATATGTAGCAAGTGTCATAGCGAGTGTATGGCAGACACTTTCTTCTTTAAAGTTTTTATGAAAATTTGGATTTTCATTGAAAAAACTGAAATAATATAAAAAGGAGCTCACAAAAATCTCAGCCTAGGAAAGGGAGTCAAAACAATGTCTATTGTCTAGAGACCTAACGAGATAAAAAAAGGGTCAAATCCAAAAGAATGAGATTGAGAGGATATTATAAAAGGCTCAAATTCAAAAGAATAAGATTGAAAGGATAATTACGGAAGTCCTTAAAAACAATAAAAACTCTGTCATTCTCCTAAAGTCCAATACTCCATAAAACAAAAACAAAAAACTACCATGTCAGATCATATGCCCCTTTGTCAAGAAAGGGGGGATTGAATAGAACCCCTCCATCATATGACAACAATCATTATTACGACCCAARCATGCATCAAACTTCCCCAAGAAAGAGAAGTAATATGGTAGACATTATTGATTTAAATGGAATGGTATTCCGGATCCAAACATGACTGCTACAAAATTTTGGCTGGTTAATATTTCGTAGTATCTTGGATTTTATAGAACAACTTCCATGGTTTCAGTTTTATTCATTTCGTGAATTTGTATTTTTCTCTAGTTTGTTTCTTCATTAAAGTACTTCCAAATATCGTGCACTTGATATTCTAAAGTTTGTTTTAGAAGAATGTTTTCAAAATAATTCTCTGCTTTTTGTTTCCAAAACTATGCTTGGGTGACTTGGTAAGTTTTGAGGTAATTGTGCACTTGGAATCACTATTAACAAGTTCGTGATTTTTAAAATAAAAATATTTTCTTTTGTTGTCTAATTAAAAATTTTTAAAACTAATTTTTATAAGAAAATTACCTAAGCATGTCTTAAACAATATAAAACCATTTGGAAAATAGTCTCACTGATTAGCTTTTATCTTGTTTTAAATGGTGAGTTACTGCAGTTTTCTGCCTGGGTGTATGAAAAGGATTTCATTAACATAAGAACTTCACAGCTGCTATTTCTGTTTGTTGTACTATTTTTTTTATGCCCTTTTGTATTTGACTTTTCATTAAAAAACTTAATAATAATAAGCCATAATTCTCCATGCCATTGATTACTCATTATTCCAGTCTCAATGTATTTTTTTATCTGCTCCTGATATGTATTTTTCAATGGAAACAGTTAGAGGCTTGTGTTCATCCCTTCTTTGATGAACTCCGGGATCCCAATACTCGTCTTCCAAACGGGCGCCCCCTGCCTCCTCTCTTCAACTTCAAACCCCAAGGTCTTCTTTCTTCCTAGTCACTACATTCGTTGTTCGATTTACTTTCTGTACATGTAATTATTTAGTCCTTGTACTTTGGTTAGATCCTTCCGTTAAATTTTTCATTAAAATTTGGTTTAAAATTAACCTATACACCTAAAAAGGGTCAAGTGAATGGAACCAAATAAGCCTCCCAAATCTAAAATCAAAGGTAGTTTAATAATATAACCATTCGTATGTYTTAGTTACCTTGAGAATCTTAACATGATGAACACATTTTTCAATTATACTCTTTTCATCCATGAATACTAAAATGGGCTAATGATTAGTTCAAATGTCATGATATATACTTAGAAGAGGAATTAGGTCATCTAAGGAAGGAAAGTTCCAAGAGGTTGATAGAAATTTTGATTTTTTTTCTTTCAACCTAATTGCTCCTCCAAACTTTTGCCAACTCGTTAAATATCATAATCATGTCATATAAATTTATCAACAGTCCATTATAGCATTCACCAACGAGAATGGCATAATTGAAAAATGTTAAAACACAAGGGACTAAATTGAAACCTTTTAAATAATAGGGACTATAACGAGAAAYATTCAAACATTAGAGACTAGAATATATATTAATATCACCAATAGAGGAATTAGTGAAGCCTTTTAACCTATTATGAACATATAAATCATTTGCTCTATGTGTTACTAAATATGGTGAGATCTGCAGAGCTGAAAGGTGCAACTTTGGAGCTCCTCTCCAAACTCATTCCAGAACATGCTCGGAAGCAGTGCTCTTTCCTTGATTTTTAGATCAAAACACAAAGTAAATGTTGTTTTCCTCGTCGGACAGGTATGAAAAAAGAATCCTTGATAATGTAATTTCCAAGTCTGAACATCAATTGTAATGTATTTTATTAGAGAAAAAGAAAAATTTATGGGAGATGAACGCTGATTCTTGATGTGGGATGAAAATGTTGCTATAAACAATTGTTCTCTAGGATTATTACTTTTCAAAGAATTGTCTGCTACACTTGCTCTTTCAGTTTTAGTATTTTTTTTTTTTTGATGGTCGACTTATATTTGAATGACAATATCGTATAATCAAGCGAAGCCTAGAAGAAGGTGACTCTAGACASGGGTTGGTTAATCTCCAAGGGCAGGCAAATATGGATGGTCCTGACCTTACCATCACTGAAGGTTTACTAATGAATGAACTCTTGTGACCAATTTTCTTTTATGAAAAGATCTGTCGAGCCTAATCRGCCTTGTTATGTTGATATAAGATATTGATTGAGTTTGAAGAACTTTTATTGATGGAATCYATTTATAAAGTATAAAGCTATATCTTCTCTAATGAGAGGAATAGTTTATGTCTATTATAAATCATTATAAGGTCTCTTTTATTTTCAATGTGGGATCCTCGTAGGTTATACTTATTTTGGTGGTAATCTAATTTTCGTATCTGATATTGGCTTCTTAATTTGTATATACCATTGAAGTGTGTACTGGTTTTTGTTTTAAAATTTTCAATTTTATTAAAGTATGAATAATTTATAATCAAGTTTCCACTTAGGAATGTCATTAAAATGGAGTAATGAAATGATGGTTTGGAAAATACATATTTTATATAATTAACTAAAAAAAACTAATGTTWTTCTAATATTAAATGTTCACATCAATCTATTAATTAAAATCCTCCAATGACCTAACTACTGTAGAAAAATTCATCACATCGAAAGAAAATAAGCGAGGGTTACATTATGCGGAGTGCTTAGTTTTTATGTTAAATATATGTTTTAATTTAGTCTTTATTGTTTAAAGCTTTCAATTGAGGTCATTATATTTTAATATTAGTCCCTTATTGTTGGTTGATGTTAAAATTACGTGTTATTTGTAGAAATTTCAAGTTTTCTTTACGCTCCACCCGGCATCAATAAAGTTCAAAAAAATGATTTTGATTGAAAATAATTTTAAATTCTTGTTTGGATATGATTTGAAATTAATATAATTACTCTTATTATTATTATTTTGTTTGAAACTTAGATGTTTGTTGAAAAATAAAATAAAATAAAAAATTTAATGATATAGGTTTTTAATTTAAATTTATTGATTAAAAATTAACCCAACCTAAACTGAGTATCGAGTATAGAAGCATGAATTTTGGCCAATCTCAAATGATCAAATTATTATTTAAAATTAATTMAGTATTATTAAATTTGTACTGATTATGCCAACATGAGATTAACTTAGCGGTAATTAGCATACATCTTTGATCGAGTATGATTCGACCAATAATCGGAATCAGCATTTAGGAGAACACTCATCTACTCCCCTTTCGRGGATGAGTGAATTCTATCTTGTGAAGTTATRTTCCTAGTTCCTYACTTGGTCTCGTCCTCAAAATGGTAGGAATGTTGAGTCTGCGACTCGGGYCACTCTCACTCATATAGATCAAAGGACGAATACAAACTCATTGTATAGGATACCACCASTAGCATGTCTCTACACGAACGACCTAGATCGGGTCATCTGTAACAAGTGGGTCGTATCCGTAGTGTTGCCAAGATAAGGTACCCGGCCTTATCCATATACTATAGACTTTTTAGGTTATTCCCGAGACAATATCCACTTGTATATCGAGAGTATATTAAATAGATACCTAGTATATATATTGTCCAAGTTACATGATAATAACCTTGGATGTTTAGTTTATTGGATTTGAAAAATGCAATGCTATGAATTCAACAACAAATTGATTGAATGTAACTTTATTGAATATAAATTTGTTTTTACATAAATACAAACTACGAGTTTAGGGCAACAAACCCAACAATTAGTGCATGAAGTTTATCATACATAAACCACTCAAAACTAAGCTATAAAAAGTTCACACATTATCCATCAAGTCCGTACAGACCACCCAAACAAAGGACTATGAACTCTCACAGTGCATCACAGTATAAGTGTATTGTCTATCAAGTCCATATTGACCATCCAAATAAAGGACTATGGATTCTCATAGTACATTACAAACATTAGGGTTTCATCCGCTAAGTTCCTCTCGGACCCCACATACTCCAAGAAGATAACTYCATTTTACTACAACTGTTTTACATATCCATTTCTCATGCGAATGTCTTCTTTTGTCGTTGTAAACATTATTTTTGGCATCCTTATGGCAGATTATGAATTACAATGTAGGAATTTTATTATAGATTCCCCACAATCCTGGCATATTCCATGAAATAAAAATTATTCATACACTTCTACAAGTAAGTATATAGTAGAATAATCCTTATGGCAATTTGTTGATTTCTATGAAATATAGTTCGTCTACCTAAAAGAAACTCAGATTCGCTAGTGAACACCTCATCRTTATCTCTAACACTATTTGCATCACAATAACTTCTAACATAATGACACTTGTTAAAATGCAAACAGTAATATAAACAATAAAAGGCAATCGAGTCTTCACAAAGATAGTGAGCATATCTACTCAATCTACGCACARCATATGTAATATCAATCAAAAACATAATTGCCCATAATTTTTGCATATCTAGATTGAGATACATTATCACTCTTATTTTCTTAAAACTCAAACAAGCATCATACGTTGTTCTTGCCATATATGATTAAAACAATCAAATTTATTTAGAACATTCTCAATATAGTGCGATTAACATAGGGTAAACTCATTAACATGTTTATTTGTTTTTAACACTTAGTATTACATCAGRCTCTCTTAAATCTTTCATTTCAAAGTGTGAAGATAAAGGCAATTTGGTATCATTAATGACATTTAAATTTGTACAAAAATAAACACATCATCAACATATAAGCAAATAATATAATCACACTATCAGCTCCAAACAACTTTGAGTAAACATACTAAACTACTTTAGGAGCTTGTTTAGTGCTATAAAGATAATTATAAAACTTGCATACTTTATTCTCTTGACCAGTATTAACAATAAAGCTTTAGTTTGTCACAAAAATATCMTCTAGATCACCATTAAGAAATGATATTTTTCACATCTATTTTATGTATAAACATGTCACAAATAGCTGCAAACGTGATTAGAGATCTAATAATAGCTAGTTTAGTTATAGGAGAATATATCAATATTATATTTTGTGTATATCCCACAACTTCTATGAATTTTTTTTTTGTTTTTTAACAAGCTGGTCTAATTCTTAAAGAAGAGGATATATATCAATATCATGTTTTGTGTATGATTTCCCTTATTTATAAGGGCAAAAAGAAGTTCGCTGTTTTATGTTACTTTTCACTTAGAAACCGTGTTTTAAGTTTAGTTTGGTGTAAAAAACATTTCATTCTGTTTTATTTTGATTTATACACGCACATAAGACATTTTTTATAACATTTAGAATTGATTTATAATGAAAATTACGATTTTGTAGATGAAAAGTTGGAGCTAGGCACTAAGCGCMTATCCCTATGTCGAAAATGCCTTTAATGAAAGACGAGCCTTCTTATCAATTTGACAGCTTCTCCTCGACCCCTACATAACATCCATGCATGGGAAGAGGCATATTGAACAGTAACTAAATGAGTCAAAGAAGTTTTAAARCATTGGTTTGCCACAAAGTTCTTTAACTACCCAATAAACCTTGAAGTCTCCTATAAATACAGCAGCTTTCTTACTTAATTAATCATCCAAAGTGATCATTTAGAGCTTTCTACACTTTTGTTCTCGGCCTAGTTGATTTTACTTACTTTCCTACTTGTTCTTTATTTTAAAACTTAGTCTTTTTCAAGTTTTTGTCTAGTTTAAACAAAATACCCGCTTATTATTTTTATTTGTAAGTTTAAATCTTTCCTTGATACAAATTCCAGCAAGGTTATTATTCATTCATTCTTGTCACATGAAAATGTTTTTGTAATCACACAACTTTTGTGAATTRAACGAGTATTCCTCCCCAAACCTCGAAAGAGAACGAGTTAGGTTCATTTGGATTACTTTTTCATTAACTTTGCAGCTTGTTATTATGTTATTCATCCTTAAATCATGTATTTGAAACTTAACTTTGATCAATTCTGTTTTTATTTCTTAAACATGAGCTAAATTTGTTTTTCCTTGCCCGGTAGCTAAAGCTTAAAAAAAAAAGACAACAAGGGAAAAGATGTTGGGGAAAATTGACAAAATAAGCCTCCTGCAGGGGCCTTTTAAGTTTTTTAATCGCTCTTCTCAAAACACAAGTTTTCTAATCATTTGCTGACATCACCTACTTTGTCAAATGACCTCCAATGYCCATCCYTACTTTGGGTACCAAATTTTCGTTTTCCCTCCTCCCTTACTTGGGTAATACGAATAGTCCGTTCTATCTTTAGCGCACTCACACTGTAGCATTCTTCGCTCGACTCAAATTTGACTGTATTCACCTGCGATTGAAATTACATTTCTCTAAATCTCGTTATCTTTCTCCTTCGTATTTTGATTGCGACTCGTTAAAGTAACTCTGACCCTGTCGTCTTCAAGCGGTGAGACGAAGTGATTTTGGTAGCAGATTACAACGAATGAGATTTCATCGTTAACTTTGGGTTAGTGCATTTATCTCTCGAATTGCTTAAGATTTTCGTTTTCATTTCCACTATTTTAGCTATTGTTCGTAAGTTCTGTACGACCCTGACGT